TGTGGGTTAAACCGCAGAAGCCTCTGTGCTACAAGGTCAGAAGACCAGCAGTCGTAACATTGAATCCACACAACAGAGCTCCCGTTGCTTGTCCCAGCTCCTGTCAACCTAGCAGTTCGAAAGCATGTAAAAATGCGAGGAAATAGGTACCACCTGGGTGGGAAGGTAACAGCGTTCTGTGTCTAGTCATGCTGGCCACAGAAACTGTTTTCGGACAAACACTAGCTCTATGGTTTGGAAATGGGGATGAGCACCACACCCTAGAGTTTGACACAACTGGACTAAATGTCAAGGGGAACCTTTACCTTATGCCTTCTGCACTTGGCTTTGGCTGGTACATCTTACAGTTAAGGAAAGAAAAACAATATATCCTGAAGGCCTAACACATGCCCCTCTGCTAAGGGCATGTGTAGGCATCCTTCAATCTCAAGAAACTATGGTATGAATAGAGGTCTTGGAATGTCTAGTGTGGCTGAGAAGGCCAATTCAAGAGTGACAATCTTTTCCACACTGAAGACAGATACAATCCGTCCTCTGTCCAGCTCCGATTATGCTGGTTTTGGGACTGCCTCTTTGCCTCAGCATGCTGAACAAATTTCTCTTCAGAATTTCCCTATCATACAGTACAAGAACAGTGGGTTCAAACCAATTCCTTAAACATGGCTTCAGTCTCCAAAAAAAAGTTACAAGTAAAGGTAAAGGTTCCCTTTGACAATTTTTGTCCAGTCGTGTTCGACTCTAGGGGGCAGTGCTCATCCCCGTTTCCAAGCCATAGAGCCAGCGTTTGTCTGAAGACAATCCTCCGTGGTCACATGGCCAGTGCGACTTAGACACTGAACGCTGTTACCTTCCCACCTAGGTGGTCCCTATTTATATACTTGCATTTGCATGCTTTCGAACCACCCAAGTATTGACCACAAACTGTGGTCACAAGTAACTGTCCTCTGCCTACAAACAGTGGTGCTTCTTTATATTAATGCTGCTAGTACCCAGATGCACTGCTCACCATCTGCAATTAAAAACACTGTAGAGTGTGACACAACCTCAACTCGCAACCTACATCTCTCTTGCTTTTAGCCAATCTTCATAAACATAAACAAGGAAAAAATTAATGTAGAAACCATCTATTATCTTGAAAATAAAATCCGTTATTTTCGTATGTCAAAGTGATCTAATAGGCAAGCTGACAATTATAGGCTAAAACTCACATAAAAACCAATTATCTTGTAACTTCTATAAAGATAAAAACTATCTGATTGCTGTCTGAAGTAATATTCCAGTAATACCAGCTCTGTCCTAGGCTATTCCATCCCCTAGGAAATCAAGTTATCTGTTTAAATTACTCCCATCAGATTTGTATCTTTCCATACTACAGTGGTGCCTCGCATAACAAGTGCACCGTTTAACGACGAATCTGCATTGCTATCTATTTTTTAGATCGCTAAAGCGATCGCATTGCGATGTTTTAATGGGCAAAACATCGAATTGCAATGTTTTTTAAACAGCTGATTGGCGGTTCCAAAATGGCCACCACAACCATTTTTGCACGGTTTCCTCGCTTACCGAGGGCGCAAAAATGGCGGCGCTATGGAGGATCTTCGCTGAACGGTGAGTTTGGGCCCCATAGGAACGCATTAAACAAAGTTTAATGCGTTCCTATGGGTTTTTCCGTTCCGCTTAGCGATGTTTCCACATAGCGACAATTAATCTGGAACGGATTAACGTCGCTATGTGGGGCACCACTGTACAGATATTCATCAATATATGGCTCTTATTCTGTTGTTAGAATACTTTTGATTTGACAGTACTTTTAAGGGAAACCAATTAACTTATACAAAGTTACCAACTCTGTCTCTATACCATCAACACTGCTTTCCAAACTACAGTAAAACAGTCAAGAGTATGCAGTGACAAACATCTGCACATAAACTTTGGACAAACATGTACTAACAGGTTTCACAAAGAATTTCGTTCTCAGAGTAAGCACATAAATAAAATGTTTTATTAATCTATTTATGATGTTGAGAGGCAAAAACATAAGGATACTGACATCCTCAGTGCACCACGATTTGTTTTCAGGTAATGCAAGAGAAATAGTTTTTTTCATTAGAACTTTTTATCTTGAAGTTGCTGGGGATATAGAGCTGATCTCATCATTTGCTATTTTGCCTTTTCTCATCCAAGATTAAGATTGCCACCCTTAGTGATCAAAAGTATTGTAAATTTTATAGGCCTGAACAGGTCCAGACTGTAGTATTGATGAACTGCCATAATGAGTAACTGTGTAACTACTGAGTCACAGTGACTAAGAAGATGATGATGCAACACCCATGTAAAGGAAGATGATGCAACCCTTAAAGTGATTGGACAGAAGCATCAGTTCAACTGTATATAAGGGAACATTGTGAACATGAATGTATCTCCTTCTTTCCTATATGCTACTATCCTCTATGCTACTTTGCCTATATTTCTGCCTGCCACGCCGAAGGTCTACTTTGTACATTTGTATATGTTTGTTAATACATGTGTCTTTTTGTAGAAGAGTGTGTGTGTTTTTCTTCAATCAGAGAACTCTGCACATTAAACAGCAAGAAGCTGACACATTCCCTCTAATTTCCAGGCACATTGTGGAGCTCTGCTTCTCATGCACACTACCCCCCCCAGGCACGTGCCACACCAAAACCACCACCCTCCATGCAGGGTTCTGTCACAACCAGAACAAGAGGGGCTGAGAATGATCACTGTGGGTGAATGGAGGAGGGCAGAGACTCACACCTTAAAAGTGTACCTTGTTAGTAATAGTAAATTCTGGTAGCCCTGCACTGGTGAAAGCAAAACACAAATATCTACAATACCTCCAAGTGATTTGAAAGTGCATTCTGTGGTCTGGAACTGCTTTTACCTCCTTTTCTCTGGCCTCACAATTGGGCAAGGTGATGGTGCACATCTCCATTTATATTTTTAATGCAAAGAGGAAAAGCAACATACAAGGGAAAGGGGCATCATCTCATCAAAGGCATATTAAAATGGTGCCTGGTTTATCTCATCTGCCTGACTCTGCCCGCCTCAATCATGCTTGCATGGAGAGAAGCCCAAGGACAGAACAACCTCAAGCTACCCTACCCAAATATAAGGAACTCCCATTATTACTGACTGCTGCTGTTGCTCTCAACACTACAGCGGCTGAGACTGAGAAACCTGAGTCTAGAGATGAGAACATTGTAGAAGAAATGTATCTGACTACCTGGAGATGAAATTTAATGGCTCCTTCAAAAGCTGTCTTTTCCTTCACTAGGGGAGTTTTCTGTTACTCAAAAATTGGTTCCAGAGGGTTTCCCAGATTTTCAGAGGCTATTTTATGGTGCGAAGGAAACATGAGGTGAGGTGAAATGGGAAGAGGGATTACTCACCTCTACTTCCTGACACCCGGTGTTAGACTCAGAAGACAACTATTACATGAATACATTGAAAGAGACTAAGCCAAGAGCAGAGGAAGTGGAATAACCTTGATAATTCATGCATACAGACTTTTTTTTTAAAAAAAAATTACAAATCTGTGGAAAACTGCCTCCCTGTAGCAGATGCCTCTAGTAGATTTTAGTCTTTTCCACAAACGGGGCGTGTTGTTCATGTAAAGGCAACTCTAGATTTATGCTCATATTGACATTGGTTACCAGTTGCTGCCCGGGCCCAGTTCAAAGTACTTGTTTTGACATATAAAGCCCTAAACAGCTTGAGCCCTGGATACCTGAAGGACCGTCTCCTTCCATATGAGCCTACCCAGCAGTTAAGATCTAGCCAGGGGGCCCTTTTGAAAGTGCCGTCGCTCAAGGAGGTAAGAGGGATGGCTTGTAGACAAGGCCTTTTCGGCAGATGCCCCTAGACTATGGAATGCCCTCCCGACTAAAATTTGTCTGGCGCCAATGTTGATGACATTTTGGTGCCAGGTCAAAACCTTCCTGTTCCAGAAGGCTTTTAATTGAAATAACATCAACTGTGGGTCCTGATGGCAATTTTAATTGTATTTTTAATCATTTTATCTTTTATTGCATTTTAATTGTATTTTAATTGTTGTAAGCCACCCAGAGACCTTTGGGTAGAGTGGGCGGCATATAAGTTAAATAAACAAACAAACAATAATAATTTTCCAGTTTCATTTTGTGCTCCTTGAAAAATCACAGTTCTACGTCATGTTAGGTTTTTAAACACTGCAGGAATATGTTAGGTTTTTAAACACTGCAGGAATACATATGGATAACTCCAAAACACCAGATCTATTATTCATAAATGTTCTGGGAGTTGAATTGTAATGCATCTAAATTGTAATTAATCTAAACTGAATATGGTAGACAACATTAAATATGAAAAGGCATAGAACACGATAATATCTGGGCCTCATTTGGATGCAAAATACAAATTAGTTCAACTTACCCCCCCCCCCAAATGGAAATGTTAATGTTTCTATGAAATGTTCCATATTTTGAAATTGTTTCGACAGGTATGATTTGAAAGGCAAGTAAATACACTTTCTTTGATTGGCATGCTTTATTTACATATGTCTACAGAATTATAGCTTCATGGAACAAACCAGTACATTTTAATCCAAGCCGAATGAAACCCATAATTTTCCCTTAGTCATTCTAGCCTAACATTTGCCAAGTTTAAACACTTGTTAGGTACAATACTTAGGAATATCAAGCACAAGGATAACAAACTTTAACATGTAGCATCTAGCAAATCTGTTTTTCACAATTTTAGACAGACTTTCAAGAAGTCAGAGGCACAGTTACAAGAGACTAATCGTTCTTGTGCGATCTATGCTAAATTTAGCGAAAGACAAGGGATATCTAAGAGAAAGCAATAGAGGATTGCTAGGTATCTTTATGCAAATTTACCCAAAATATTTCAACAGCAAAAACATTTTGCTTTGTCTTTAGTCAGTCCAAAATAAAAATAAAATTAAGATGTTCATTAAAAGATTTTAAAAAAGATAAGTTCCAATCAGTTGTTATGCAGTTTACTTGACAAAGCAGATGTTACAAACAAGTAACTGATAACACACTTCTTTCCTAGAATCATTAATCTTCCTTAACATACTTACCTTGGGATGTCACTGAAGATAACACATATTTCTCCCAAGCAAAAGGAAATTAAGAATGGTCAGTATTTAACAGATTGCTAGTAAAACAAATTTTATGGAGCATGTTAAGCCATAAATTTATATTAGTCCAAAATGACTATCTGCAGTGATTTGTTGTTAAAGGACAATACTTTAGAAGAGTTGTGGCATTTGTTGCAAACCTGAAACAGAGCCTTGCTACTCTGATTTCAGTTTTATCAGGGGTGTGATTTCAATATTACATCCTCAATCCTCTGCAAAAGGTTTTAGAAATCCCAAGTGGCCTGGCTGTTCATGCTTTATTCTAATTCCTTAACCATATGGTGTCTGTTAATTTTTAGTGGGCATAAATGTTTTAACATGTGCAGCAGAGAAGATGTCCACCAATTTCCAATCGTGGTTACAGCCTCATGCACCATGCTGAATGTCTCACGTCCTCCAGAGGCAGCTTTTGGAGGAAGGAAGCACAAGGCCAAAGACTTGTCTGGAGAGCCAAACAATTTCCTTTGGATTCAGATTTTTATTTTTTGTATCTAACAGCGTCTCAGCTATTAAGTAACTAAGGCGTGGATATCAAGTGCAAAAGTTCTTAGGAAGCTGAAACTTAAAACCTTAGAAGTTAGATGCCACCATAAAGTATTCACAAATGGAATGCTCAGTAGAAAACAACACAGGATGATTCTCCCTCCTCTTTACCAATGTAAGGTAGCTTATCTACTGCAACTGAGGATACATGGAGAATTACTTTGTCACTTAGGCAAAGAGAGAAATTTTTCATTTAGAAGCCAGGGCTTGTAGCTGTGGAAGATGGCTATCCCCTTCAAGTATCACTCTTGCTTTGCAACTGAGGCACACTACAACTACAGTTATTTTTCATTATCCTTGCAAGGCTGAGGGAACAAAGGGAAACAGATCAGCATGTTTTAACATGAATTATGCAGTTCTGTTGACAGTTCTGCGACTTCTGCAGAGTAAATGACAGAAGCTGAAGTCAAATCAACAAGGAGGCAGATATTTTTGAATGGGGAAAACAGTCATACTACTCACCTTTCTGAGGTAAATTTATGGCTTAATATATTCCATTACATTTTGTTTCATGAATTAAAATAGCTGCAGTTTTCCATTAAACATGCACCTCTACTAGCAGGATTTAGCATTTCTGACCAAGTAAGACACCAACTTCTTTAAAATGTCTCATGCACTGGATTATATTTTTCTGTTTTGAGTTTTAATATATTATTTCTTTTTAGAACTTGTACGAGATCCAGAGTGAGAAGATCCAGACGATGACCTGCGATTTCTGTAAGATAAAAATGGGAGAAAGCATGCAAACAAATTAAGTTTAAATTGTTAAAGGAAAATATTAGATTTTAAAAAGAAAAATAAAGTAAAATAGATAAGGGCAGGAAATGAACTGTGAATATAATTATGTGGGCTTCATCTCCATATTGCAACTCTACAAATACAGAACTTCTTTTATTTGTAAAGTTCTAGAAAAACTAACCATATCATGACTGTTTTGGAGCAAAATACTCCCCCCCCCCAGACTAGCATGTTTGTGGTAAGTATCTATATTACAAATGATAACCGAAAGAATATGAAAGAGCATTTAAGAAGACTGGTCTGAACAGAATGAAGTCTACAAATATAAAACTATCTATGTTCAAACACACAATACTAGCACATTAAGTTCTTTTTCTAGTCCTCTCATAGCCAACATTGAAAGAATGACCATTCTTATTCTACAAAACCCAAACCTTTCAGGTGACCGTGATCTCGTTCGCCTTTTTTTGCGATCACCAGATGAAGATCTAGATCGGCTTCTCTTTCTGCTTCTCTCAGGAGAGGATGACGAATGAGAGCTTGAATAAGATCTCTTTCTTGGGGTTGAAGAACCCCTGATGGACCTGGAGCTGGATCTTTATCAAGAAATAAATCAGACTTAATTCTAGTGCATGAAATGGGTGTAACCAAATCCAAGAACATTCAGCACAAACATACACTTATAATGTGGAATCAGTACATAAGAATTCAGTCCTAACCCCCTAATGTAATTTTTTCTTCTCAATTCTGTAATTGAGAGATGAGCATGAATAATTTACTTTCCCATGTAAAAACTATGGGAAATCAGATTAAGAATTAGAGGTACAAATGAAAAGCATTTTGCCACTGAATAAAGGGGGTAAGAAAGCCAGTAGCAACACCCATATGTATACATGTGAGACTATTGGTACATAACAAGAGATCTCAGTTCAGAAATCTCTTCTGAATAAGAAAAACTGAAAAGCCATACTATTTGATCATGTAAAGAAAATTATTTTATGCTAAATGGTAATGAGGCTATAAAACATTTCAGCAATAACAACAGTCCAGAACAATTTATCTGCAAGGGTAATAGTTCTGGAGAAACACTACTATTTTCAGTTTTTGGTTAGCTTCTGTTGGAAGCTAAATACTAGATTAGAATAAAACAGGACCTTATGTGAAACCTAATGGAGGGAAAGTCTTTAGTTATGTACAGCGGCAAATTATTCACTACAAATGTGCTCCTACAAACTTCACCACATAAGCCAAGACTCTAGCTAACAGCTCCTGCACCTCAATTTCTTTTCAGATTCAGTGCTTTATGACAGAATATGCAAGCTCAGCTGTGAATACACCACATATTCAAGGGAACCCTTGAGACCTCTAAGAAAAGTTGTAATTTACTAAAAACAGGCAGTGTCTTCTAAGCAGCACACTAAAGATGCATAATTGCCTCATGTTAACCTACAAAGTCTTTTTACTTATTAGAGGATCAGTTTGTTTTTAAGGCCTTTTAATTTAATAGAAAACTCTTATGTCACAGTAATTGTATTTGAATAATGTTTAATAGCATTTCTTGTATACATCTTGCTGCATTCAAAAAAGAAAATTATTTGTGAGTTGACAAAATAGTAACTTCTGTTTGCCTTTTAGTCTCTTTCTCTCTGGCAAGCAGAGAGATTGCTACCTCATTCACCTTGATTTCGACCCACGAGATCTAGAACGTTCTCTGGAAGTTGAATGAGATCTGGACCTTGAAGTGGAGGAGCTTCTTGACCTGAAACAACATGGAGATTTTTTTCGAGGAAAAGACAAAAATCAAATGAAATTTAAATTTTAGTGTAATTTATAACTGAAGTTTATAGCTGAAGTTAAAGTAAGTTTTATCTCCTTACGCAGCGGCACAACATTTTGGGTAGATGGGTCATTTTGAAAGTGAATGGTCAGGATGCATTCAGCTTCTTTCATCTGCATACCCAAAGTCCCATCATGTTAGAAACTGTTTCTGATATATACTTCTGTTCCAAAAGCTGTTTGTAATGTATGACAGGGAGATGCCAATACATCTTTATGGCATTACGAACTTATAGAATGTTGGGTTCACTGGGTTCTGGCCAAACAATTTAAAATACAGTATTTATAAACCAATAGTGTTTTCTTGCATATTATTTACATTAAAATAGGTAAAGTAAAATTTATTTACCCTAAAAATAACACTAACCAGAAACTTCAGCGTGTGATCTACGAAAGTATATTCTTTAACCTTATGTTACTAAAAACTGTTCGGGTTGAAGACAGGAAAAAATTAATTTAGATTGCATAAAGACCAGAAACCAACTTTGGATGTTATCCTCCATGTATCAAATATATAGATACTAGGATACTTTGAAAACAAGCTTTAACGTGCCAATTGTGCTGTCTCACTGAATACTTAGCAATTTTAAAAAAAAGGTTCCAGAGAGTTTTTAGTTCCTGAGTATTTTTCCTAGGCTTTTTAAATTCCTGAGTAAAAATGTAGCTAGATGCCTACTCACATGCAAACAGCAATGATTTTGGTGGGCTTTCTCCCAGGTAAGCACACATAGGACTGCAGCCTAAGCATCTTTTCTGCCACTATCAAGATGCTATTATTTAAAATTTGCATGAATTCCAGCTGAAGGTTCACAATAAACATTATGACACTTTAACTCTTTCCCTTGGCCCTCTAGAGCTCCTGTATTTACCTTCAAGAAGGTTGCATTAATATTTGAGAAAGTGTTTTAAAAGCACTGTTGACTTAGAATATGATGTTCCTGCCTTAAAATTAAATGGCATTATGTTCTCTTTCTTGGTAGCGTAATTTACTCAAGTGCACACACACACATTTGTTTTACCTCAAGTACCCTACACTACTATTCAACAACAGAGAGAAAGCATTCTTTTAAGGCAGTTTTTTAAGGGGATGAAAGTCCCTGAGGTAGGAATTGCAAGGAAAGGACAGGATAAAACAAATTCAGTGAGCTTGCAGAAGCTAATCAAGATGGTCTTTGGATATGACACAAGGATTCCCAATTTTAAAATGTTTGATAATATTCCATGTAGTATTACTAAACGTGCCAATAAATTTCACCCCAACTTGAGAAACAAACATTTTGTCCAAATGATTTGTTCTGCACTAAAACTTTCTTCCCAAAGAAATTACCTACTACAAAACATATTAAAAACCACCACTCTGTCAAATATCACATTTGTTACTAAGTATCCAAAGTTATAGTTGCACCAAGAAACTCAGAAAAAACTGTACTATATTTTTGCAAAGTTCAAATATCTGAACCAAGTAACTATTTTTAGTACTTTAAATTTTTCACAATAAAATTACTCCAAATTTATTTTTGGAACAGTTTGGATCCAGATTTTTGCTCACCTTTACCAACAGGAGGAAAATGTGATTTCTGTTAACTCCCTTTACCTTCTACAGCCCCGAAAATCTGCACAAGAAGATTATGGGGCTTTCTGGAACAATTTGGGAAGTAGTATGGGTGGGATGGGCAAAAACTAACATTCCCTTTGGCAGGAATCACTCTTAGATCAAAGGCCCTTCCATGAATGGACCCTGCTGTTCACAGAAAAGCCTATCAGAACCTTGCTTTGTTTCAATTTTCATGTTAAACAGTTAACATGTTAAAACTGATTATACAACGATGGTCTCCGATTCTAGTAGAATATCAATGTCTGAATTAAATGAACTCTTTGTTACTCAAACGCTAACTGCTACGCACAATACTGTTATCTTAAAAATATAAGCTGTTAGAGAATAGTTATATTCCACAGGTTTCTTACAACACGCCCTTCGACAGTGCACCGTGGGACTGGTGCAAAAGAGATGAGTTACTAAGATCTCAAGGTAAGGCAAAAATATGAAATAAAAAAAGTAAAAGTTGTGTGTCAAATAAGATGCTCCAAGGATTTGACAACCAGGTAAGCACTGCATTTGTTTAAAAAATAAACAATCACAAATTGTTGCCCTTCCCCCATGTTCCAGCCCCTTAGAAATAAAGGGAGTTATGAAATAGTGTAAATGTTTTCTGGCAGAAGGAGCACATCTTAGGTTAATACTTCACTCTTGCCAATCCACTCATACAGAGATCCCATGCCACTGGCTGGCCAGGATAAAAATACAATTAAGTAAATAAATAAATTTATCTTACATAGTGAATTAGGCAAATCTGGGCTACTCTTTACAAAACTGCTAAGAAATATTAAAATCCAGAGCCAATCCTTTCATTTAACGGTGCTTTCAAAATTACATATGTCATGAAATGTAGCTACCACCTGCAACTTGCCTAACTGAAATCTACCTATATAGACTGGTATATAAGGTTTATTAAATTAACTTGAACTGCTAAAAATAAAAACTCAATCACAAAAGAGAGATAAATAAAGAAAGTTAGATACTGACATTTTGTCTGGCGTTACCCTTGACCTGTACCCGTTTACCTGGACCTAGACCTTGAACTTGAATGGGAGGATGAGCGAGATGAAGATTGTGAACGAGAAGATCGAGACTTGGAACGGCTGCGCCTCATTGTGGATTTTTTCTTTTTGGCAGAATCTTCTTCCTCACTAGCATCAAGATTATATTTTGAGAGATCTGCATCATCTTCATCTTCATCCTGGGGAGGGGGTGGAAACCTCAAGTTATTACAATCACAAGGAAAAATATTAAGAAAAGTATTCTATTTACTGTTTATCTTCATTTCTGTATCTTTAGCCTACGTCAAGTGATAAGAATCATATAAACATCTCTGAATTGATCTGCTTAATAAAGCCCACCTTGCTCATCACAAGGACACTTCTCCTTATGAGTAGCTTTAAAAACTTTGGGCTCTGATGAGAGAGAGCTGAAATCAGACCCTGTCTAACCATGAATCGGACTGGGTGATCTTGTCTCTTAGGATAATCTACCCACTGTGCTGTTCCAAAGGTGAGCTAGAATAACTACACATACTTTGTTCTAAGTTCCTTGGGAGATAACAATGCAAATAAACGATGAGATGAATATAATATAGATCATGCTGAAGTTGCCTTTAAGGTAAACATTTTTTTAAAAAAAACACAAGCCCTTCTAATTTGTTTATCCAGATACAACAATTGTTACCAAGCAGAAACGATTATTTCTACAAACTAATTTGCATGTGAAAGCACACATATTTACACATATTATATGTAACACATAAATCTCAGGATGCTGTCTTTATGTACTCAGAACTGGACTACACCTGGCAATGCTTCCTTCTTTTTCACGTACATTTTAACATATCTGACAAATCAACAACTTGGAATCAAGTCGTGCAAAGGACTCTCTCCTCCAGCAACTAGACACTTGGTGCATTGTGTTCAGTGCATTTGCCCTTCTTCCACTGTTGGTGTAAGTTAGCAGAATTTTTGTTTCAGTCCAGGCAGTAGAGTTGAATGACACAGACAAAGACAGCTTCTTCCAACACCAAGTGTATTTACAGTATATACAGAAGTTCAGCAGTACAAACCAGCAGCATGACATTCATAGAAGAGATCCGTCCATCTTCTCCACAGGTCCACACAGTTATACACATGCATATTTACATACAGCCAATCAGTGTGGACATTGCATCATCCTTATTTTGCACACCTGTCAAGTATGGCTGCTGATTACCATAGGCTTTGTTCTGCCTCAGTGTGAAATTATCCTTGACATTTGCAACTGCCTTCCATGTGAGCAGAAGACCAGGATTTCTCATTGGCTCATATTAATATTTGTGGCCCATGAGATCTCAACAGTAACAAATGACTAGGAGTTCTTCTAATTGTACAAATTCAGATACAGGACTGTTTTACCTCATCCAATTTATATTTAGACAGATCTCCATCCTCATCCTCCTCTTCTTCCCCTTCAGATTCCTTATCTTCAACTTCCTTTAGGATAGAGGCAGGACCAACAGGCTTCCCCCTGTATTTTTTCTTTTTGCGACCAAACTAAAGAATAAATTGTATTCTATAAGAACATAAAGTACTGGCAGATATATTATACACAAAAAGCAGGCATGGATACAGATCTTAATTTTACTGACAATCCCTTTAATAGCTGCAATCTAGTTGGCACAACTGTGCTGAGTAAACAGTAATGTTGACATTACCCTGCACCTTTAGTTTTTGTTTTAATTACATTTAACCACCTTATCTCCTCCCTCCTCAGAACGTCCAAGTTCTGAGGCTCCCTACAGCTCACATTTGCCATAGGGAAATCTATGGGAGCCTTGGAATGAAGACTTTAGAATTACAAAATCGTCCTGGTGGTCGCGTTGGAAGATCTGCACCAGATTAAAAGCGGTGGTGCCAATCTGGTGACCGGACCAACAATCTTCCAATTTTAAAGGCCCTTCCCAATCCTGAGGCTAACATATGCTTCCCCAGGGGCAAAAGGGAGTTTCAGAACCTACTATGGGAGGGATACGAGATTTTAAATTTAATTAAAATTAAAATTAAAGATGTAGGATGGTTACATTGTGACTATTTACACAGCACACTTACACCTACTGGATTCAGCCAGTAAGTCTATCACCGCTGTTTACCCTTACATTAAACAAAAACCAAAGAGAGAATGACAACACACAAAAAACCAAGTCAATAATTTATACAATGATATTCTAACTGGTATATTAGGCTAGTTACAGAACCAGATCGCGTACAGGAGCCAAATTAAACAACAGGTGTCAGAACAAGATGTGTGGTTTGTCCCTCAACAATTTTAGTGCTCATCAATGTTTCCATAACTCACAGGGGAAAAAACATGCAGCTTCAATCAAAATGTCTTGTTCAGAAAATCTGGAGTTTCTACTCATGAAACTGCATAACTGGCAACACAATGTGCAAAGCACATTTAAATTTTGGAAAGTGCCAACCTACACAGATCCTAAATCAATGTTTTACAGGTGACAGCAAGTAAGGATGGAATTTTCTGGTTTTTCTGGACCACAAATAACATAATTCTCCATTCTTGGAGTTCCACTTACCTTGCAGGGCCCTGACAAACACTTCAGTGTGATACACATGGGATAAAAAGCCTAAAATAGAAGGTTTTGAGGCTCAGCTTGGCCAGGTTCTGCACAAGCATCTAACTCAGAAAGCTCCCAACTATGACCAGGATAGGAAAAGAGTACTGGTATTCATGGTCTGGAAAAATCCAATCCCTAATGATATGCTGGCCCAGCATTCTACATTTTAAGCTTTATTTGTTGCCATTTTCCCCTTCACTGGAATTAGGGATAACCAGACATTTGCCATCCCTAAGCCAATAAATTCCGTGAGACTACTCACATTTATTCAACGACTTTTACATGCTGAAATCAGTTGCTACATTCAAGCTTTTCCTCACAATAGTTTTGACCATTACCTGTTCACAATGGACACAAGTCCTACCTCATCATATTCTCCATCTGATTCTTCACGTTCTATATACTCAACATTCTCTCTTTCATTAAATCCCCCACCATATCCTGCAAAGAAAAAGTTTCAAAAATTTCAATGGTAAATTCAGCTGCAAAAAAGCCACATTGTTCTAAGTTAACTGAAAGCTGGATTGCGTACAGACTTAATTACACCTAGAGCAGACCCACTGTAATCAATGGGACAAATAAGTAAATTAAGTTGCAAAGTCCATTGACTACAATGGCTGCACTCCAATGACAAAATCTGAATTCAATGCATTTTTCCCTACATCACTAAAATAAATAACAGACTTCTAAGTAATTAAGGCAGAATTTACCTATTGTAAAGTCAATTTTAAAAAGAAACAAACACTAGAATTATTCCTGTATTAGTTTAAGTGTGACAGTACCATGTCTGCTAAGTTTCAGAATGAAGTAAGGGCTTAAACTCTCTAGTCATGGATGCAATGGGCTGGTTCCTGAGAGATCCACCTGTGGAAGCAGATGAGCAGAAGCTGAATCTTTCACCTCTTCTGCCTGAAAGCCCTCTCAAAAGGCAACCCTGAGATTCCCCAAATATCTAGTTTATACAATCAATAGGTAAGAAAACATCTGAAGGGCACCAAGGTGCCTACTTAGGGTTTAAAATCCAAGTAAGATTATCTACCACATAAAAATATGTGAATCTGTTAAAAAAAATTATATACAAATACAAAGATCTGAAATTAAGGACACACATCCTTCTCTAGGCTGTGGCAGACATCTGATAGGCTCTTACTGGTCCTTAAAGTGGGTTCTATTGTCTATTAAAATGAATTATGGCCCTTTCAGAAACATCTGGTTCCCATTCCAATTCTAGGAAGCCTAGGAATAACATGAATCCTTCAGAAATTGAACTCTGATTGCTGAAATGCAGAAAAGGACCTGAAATAAAAAGTGAAACAGCAGAAATGGAAATGAACAGAAACTTTAGATATGTAACAAAGATTCCCCAACTCTGACATGCTGTGTGATTTATTGCAAAAGCAGCTCAGAGAAAAAGAAATAGGGGTTTGAAGATTTTTTTTAAATGCCAACTTTTATATAATTCAGGAAACAATTACCTGTTCTCTCCTCAAGTTTGGCATATTTTGGTGTGTTGCACATATTGCATTCAGATCTTCTTGCCCAATTAACATTACCACAGCTTCAGGAAGAAAAAAAGAGTTTAATTGTAGACTAAAACACTTCAAAAAGTTAAAAGCTGACAACTTTTAATGATGGAATTCTTCTTACCAAACCTCACCAAAGTACAACTAAAAAAGCAAATGAAATGCTGAATTCTGAGTCAGGAGACAAATACAATTTCTTCTGCGAGTCAGTAAGCTAAAATGAGGGAGAAACCGTTCTAGCACTTGCAAATTTTAGTGTGAATATGCATTGTCATTATGTTACGATATTAGCATCAATAGAGAAAAGAAACTGACCACTAAATGTTGCTGTAATTTAAAAAGTAATTCATACTGAATTGTACTGCAGATGAACATATGTATTCATACATTTGTCTCCTTTCAGCACGTATCCTACTACTCTGTTGTTTGTTCAGGCTAGGCAGAAACCCTTAATTTCCAAGTATCAATTGCAAAATATTCTTGGGAGGAAAAGAACCATGGAGGAATGTAGGGTGTTACTAGTTGAAGAACTTCTTGTTGAATTATTATAATCTTTAGGCACCTCTAATAACAGCAACTCTAAACAAAAAGTTATAGCCCACAATCATCAACTCAGCTACCTAATTTACTAATAACATCAAGTGTTAGACAAGACATTACAAAATGTGTCTATTTTTTCCTTTGCCCTCCATTAAAGCAAGTGACATGCTGCTTCAGTTTTTGACACACCAGACAATACGCTTCCTTCCTTGCCAGGTTTCTTTCATAATCAAATCCTACACACATACATCCAACAATTAAATCCCTATAAATTTTAAAAAGTCTTACTTCTGAATAAGTGTTCATACTACTTTATGATAAATGGGACACACATTCTGATAACAAAGGAGAGAACAAAATGCTGGCTGAAAGCAGTTCAATAACAGAAAACACCACACAGAAATTAGGCATGACGATCAACATACGTTTTACACTGCCAGTCATTAGCACTGAAGAGACCACGGCTCTTTTCAGCAAGTGTCTTCCCAATTTCAGTCCCTCCAGCTTTCATCATCTTGGCCTCTGTGGTTTTTTCTGAAAACAGTTAGGGAATGGTTTGCATGTTGGTTTTATTATTCATTTCACATCCTGTAATCTCTCTCCTGAAAAGAAATGTAATGCAGCTACTCACCTCGACCACATCTGTTGCAACTGGTTCTTCTAGCAAAGTTAACATTTCCACACCTACATGATTGGAGAAACATTTGTTCATAGCCGGTTCCTAGCTAAACATGTTAGATCAAAAATTTGCTAGATATGCTTTCCAGCTAGCGTGCTCAAGAAGGCAACACACATTTATTTTCCCCAAGTTCTCTATTCACACAACTAGATCGAATTTTGGAATATAATTGTGTCTGGTAATCAATCAAATTCCACTATTAATTTTCCAATTAAAAATTACTGCCATAAATCATTTTTAGGCCTATTTTGTTGGTTATTACCTAAACAACTGAAAACGAACACCTCTGTGGAAATGGAAGAAGTTCTGCTGTCCTCTTTCAAATAAAAATCGCTGCCTAAGGCGTTTATAAAAACTATGTATATTACCTCCCTGCGACGCTAAGGCTAAGCGCACTTGCTTAAGAGTAAGAGCCACTGAAATCAATGGAACTTGCTTCCGAGGGGACCCGCGCCGAAATATCTTTTATAGGTACGCCTCCTGCGTCGTCGAAAAAGAGCGGAGCCTGCACCAAAGCCAGGCTTTCTCTGCGTAGGGCCTGACACGCACGGCAACCCAAGTGGGGCGAGAGGCCCTGGAAGGCGTGAGAGACGAGCGAGTGGGAAGCAACACCCCAGATAAGCTCGACCCCAATCCCCGAAGGAACTGCAAACCACCAACCCTCATAAGATAAAAGAGGAAAATGGGGGGTTCCCAGCAAAAAACACGCCGCCCGCCTTCCTTGTGGGAAGCCCTGGCGGCCCTCGGCCCAGCCGAGATGTCGCCCCGGCCCCAGGCCTCACCCCACCCTCGGACTCTCGCAGGCGACAACCCAGGCCACTTGCCCTTCCTTCGCCCCCTCACTTTTTGTCCGGGCAGATCCAGTCGCCATCGCTGACGCGGAAATTCTTGGTCGACATCTTGGAACGGCTCCCAAGCCGGCCTCCCTCCCGCTCTTCCCCGCTCACTGACCGAGCGCCCAGCGACGCCACCAGCAACCGCCCCAGGCACCCCAGCGGCCTCGGCGGCGCTCAGCGAGGGCCTCTCGGGTCCTTCGGGCGACAGGCCTGACCGTCGCCGCGCCTGACTCTCCGAGCGCACTTGCGCGGTGGTTAAAGGCTAAGCGGCTCGCGGGCCCCCTCAGTCCGCGGAGCCAAAATGGAGCGGGGGGGGCGGGGCGGGGGAGAGAAAGGACTGGAAAGCTAGCTATCAGGCATGGAAATAGACAGCCCTGGACTGACAGAGGCGGGAAAGTGGCCAGGAAGGGAGAGCGACCTCTAGCGTCTGGAGGATCTTAGGACAACCTCGCTTTCTTTAACTGAGGGTGAAGGCGTGGGTTAGCAAATTCGATGTTAGGGGATCTTGTTGGCTTGGTTGGATTTCTCTCGAATTTCGAGATCTACCCGTGTGGTGGGGAAAAAGCAAATATATGCCCTTATTATTAGAGCTGGACAGGTTTATATTTGTGGGGTACAGGTCCCAGAATTCTCTAGGCATGGTTCTGGGCGTGGCAGTCCAAAAAACAAAACAAAAACTGCATACATATATTTAGATTCTGCAGGATTCTGGGCCCATGAATTTGTTTTCAACATCAGAAGGGAATGGAGCTGACAGTTGTAAAACCTTGTTCTCATAGTGTTTTAAAAAAGGCTTGAGCTGCGAATTGAGGGGAGTAAAAGGAACCAATTCAAAAGTCCGATATATCTTTTGGGATCCCTTTCTTGGAGAAAAGCAGGATAGAAATGAAAGAAGCAAGTTGCGCAGGAGGTGGAGCACCTACACTTCGCAAAAAAGTAGTGCCGTTTCGGAGATAAAGCTTTGCACAGCCTTGATTTGAGCTGAGCTGTAAATGTATCACCAAAAACGGTTAACTTAAGAGTTGTGTAAACACATTAAAGCAATGTGTACAATCTAGAAATGCCACAAAAGACAAACATTAAGGGGGGAAATGAAAAAAAGTGAATTTCATCCCTTTGGAGAAGAATGACACATCCCTGAAATGGTTATAGACTCCAACGTAGGTTTGAGAAGAAGTCACTGGAATGAGACTTTATAAATAAGCACATTGCTACATAAATAAGTGTACTCTGAAAAGTTTGATAGTGCATTGTTTTGAGTTCTGGGCCATCTGATTCAACAGTCACAAGAACTTAAATGACATATTTATACTGTGCAAGTGGAGCAGATCAAGGAGTTTATTCTGATGGCTCTTTGGATGTGAAAATATTGATTGATGTACAGGAGTTTTCAGCTCTTTCAGTGGTAGTTCTAACAGCAGTTGTACAGCCGCAGGGAATGGAGTCCTAGGGTGGCTATATGGGGTGCAAAAGAAAATAAAATAAAAAAGAAGGAAGGCCTGCTGTACCTTTAATAATTAGGCAAAGGAAGAAGAGATTTCGGCATATATAGCATGTCTAGCAAGCTATACTTGCTAACCTTCCTCTACCATGCAGCTCTTAAAGTACAGGAGCCCTACTGTCTTTTTCATGTGTCCACCTTATTGTGGACTAACTGACGCCACCAAAAGAAGATACCCCATGGGAATGTCTTTGCCATCCTAATGCTTGGACCCGTTGCCATCTTACTGCTGTCCATAGTGGAAACTTGAATCGATCTATTGCTCAGTGTTCAAGCTGTGTTTGGAATTGCAGACCTTTACAGCAACTAGTGCTAAAAAGTATACCATGAATTCATAGTAAAAATTCAGATGCTACTTACCCTGTGGCGTTGCTTACTAGTATGGGGCATCTATGTAACACAAAACAGGATTTCTTTCTATGTTACCCTGTGGTGTTGCTTACTAGTAAGGAGCATCTACTGTATGTAACACAAAACAGGATTTCTTTCTATTGTGACATCTGTCCTAGAAAATATTGGTGTTTTTACTGCACTTAAAAAAACTTCCTGTACGCACACATGCTGTCGTCTACTGCTGATTTGCTTGTCTATGCAGCAAGAGTGAGGATTGTGTGGTCAACTGGTTATTATTGGCCACTGATCTCAGGATACCTACCCATCAGAGCCAATGGTGAGGGATGATAAGAGTCCAGACATGTGGAATGTCACGTGTTCCTCTTGGTGTTGTTGACAATGAAACGCCAAAAGGAAGTACTGTTACCACCCAATTTTTGGTCCCAATTCTCTGGCAGAGAATAACAGATAAAGACAGTGCATCAATCAGTCTATATATGTAAATCAATTTTATTCAAACACATATATGACTGGGCCCCATACCTAAGGCGGATTGGGAGAGCCCCATCATTAATGGGGAAAAGCATTTTATAAGTTTCTTACACAAAGGACAGTACAGCACAGCATCTCCTATTGGTCTCCTGGATCCTATGGGTGCCTGTTGGGTCGTCTTATTGACCGTGATAGATGTGAGAAAAATATCCAGATTATATCCCAGGGTTAGTGGCTGCCAAGTTTATGAATTTGAGTGAACCATTGTGTATTTAGAAACATGTTACAGTCTTTTGCCTGAAGCGCTGTGAATGTTATTCTGAGTTGGCCTTGGTTCTCACAAAGCTGTGTGATAATGTAGGAATGTTTCTGTAAACGCCAAGCGAGAAGAGACAGTTCAATACTTTGAGATGAAATGAGGATACAAAGATGCATTGCCTATACAAAATGCGTATAAGGTACAGATACAAAAATGCATATAGAATATCATTATAGTAAGAACTCATATTTCAATTACAGGTACAAGGCATGACCACTTGTGTAAAATGCTGATTATGAATGCTAAGTACATGTGAATCAAATAGCATGAGTTGTCTTAAATTTTAAAGTTCAAAACCTCATCCTTGCCCCCTAGCAGTACAGTACATGCCAAAATCTGAGGTCTCCACTATCTAGAGCAGGTCTCTTTTGTGACAACGCAACTTCATCACACAGTGAATTATTAATACTTACAAGGTGGAAGAAATACCCTGCATGGGTATTTTGAGAAGTGGGAAAAAGTAATGAATACAAATGTGCCCCTGCATAACTCTAAATGGGATCCTGAACCAGATCCCAGAGACTACCTTGACAACCTCCCCCCCATCACATCATTGTGTTGGTGCATCTGGTTGTATGGTCCCTGGAGTAAATTGTCAGTTTCCTGATCCTTCACACAAGGCCAAAAACTGATGTGAGAGATAGCATCTGGAAGAGGGAAATTCCTAACTAATGTGACTGTTGGAGTATTACAACACAAGCTTCTCTCGCCATTGATATTATGCAGATTGGCTTGCTTTGTCCGATGAATAGGCTTCAAGATACAAGCACAGGATTCCTTTTAAGTCTTATTTCACTGACATGGAAAGACTGCCTCAGTTGATTCTTTGCCATATAAACATGCTCTCAGTTCTGGTTATGAGTGATCTCTAATATCTGTTTCAGACCTAAAGGGGTATGTTTGATCCATTTTTGTATCCATATACTTACTATTTTTAACTTTGAATATTTAAATGTTGTCTTTTAATGATGTAAGCTGCCTTGGGTGCTTTTTAATGAGAAAGGCAGGGTAAAATATTTTAAATAATCAGTAACAACAACAACAACGTTTGCTCCCAAGTAACACCCACATAATATGTAGTGTTTCTGCTGATACAATAGATGGCGCTTTAGGAACACAGAATTTCAATCCTTGATGGCGATGAAATATTAACCTGCAGGGTTATCTTTTATTAAGGGTGTAAAAATAAATGTTTTAAGATATAATTGTCAGGTCTATCTGGCGAAATATAAAATGTATTGTCTCCGGGTATGACTCATGCTGAGGCTTCAAAGCCAAAATTAGCCGTGATCGTGGCATTTCAGAAGACAAGTATGTTGAAATGTATTGGGATTATCTGCTGTCTCTCTGTGCATTTCCCTGTTGCAAATATATACTATTGATTTGATTCCAGCAAGGTAAGAAGTTTGGCAGATATATTCAATATATAATGGTCAAAGGAATAGAAAATAGCAAGGGGCCAATGGAATCATAAGTAAATTTATACTGTCATCTCATATTTTCAAAATAAAGACAGTATTTATATTTCATGACGCCAAAATGTATTCCATAGTTTTGTCCATATAATGACTCAAAGCAGCTTGCTTACATTTGTTCTATAATTTCATATATTCCCCCCCTTCCGTGCGCGCTCATCTCGGGATTGGGGCATGAACACATATTGTCAATGAGATGCTCAGAGAAAATGTAATTCTTCAAAATTTATTTCACACCATGCCAAGATGTGACTTCACAAAACCCAAAGTTGTTGGCTCCGGACTCAGTTAAGGTTAGAGTAGGCCTGTGAAGGGGACTTTAGTTGGTTGTGACAGAACCATTGTGATTCAGTGGATGGACCATTGTCTCGGGACATGGGAGATCCAAGGTCCAGTGCTCACTAGATGTGCAACTCAGTGGGTCACCTTAGGGTAGCCAAATTTTCCTTTGCCTCATGTACCTTGCACAGCTGTTGTGATTATAAAGTGTGTGTATTGCGGGGGGGAGCCATAGAGTATGTTCTGCTTTCCCCAAATAGATTGGAGGAGAGATGAGATATTTTTGTTGTTGTTTAATCAGCCTTCTTTATGGTCCAGCTCTCGCTTCCATACATCACTACAGAAAAACCATAGCTTTGACTATGCGGACTTTTGTCGGCAAGATGATGTCTCTGCTTTTTAAGATGCTGTCTAGGTTTGTCATTGCTTTCCTCCCAAGAAGAAGGCATCTTTTAATTTCGTGGCTGCTGTCACCATTTGCAGTGATCATGGAGCCCAAGAAAGTAAAATCTGTCACTACCTCCATATCTTCCCCTTCTATTTGCCAGGAGGTGTCCATGATCTTAGTTTTGAATGGAGAAAGAATGTCTCATTTATTCAACAGGTCTGCTCCAAACATGACTAAGTCAGAATAGACTCAGTTAAGCAAATCAAATGCCATGACAAGGATGTTATCTCTGATAAATGTAGTTAACGGTTCAGTACAGAAATACTGTGGCCAGGATCTTATTGGGTTCTTATGCTAACAGAAGAAGCCTCCCAGAAAATCATAGAGAGGAGAGTTCTGTTCTCAACTGTTCTTGCAGACCCATCGTGCACTCAGTTATCTGTTCCAGAGTGTTGGGAACCTGTGCAGAACAGAACTTTGAGTGCCATGGAGGACT